GTAGGACTACACCTGTCCAGTTTTACTTGCCTGCCGAGGTCAGCCTGTGATCGACACCTCGACATATGGTGTTCCCCAATCCTGTTTCTCTAAACCACTTATATTAAGCCCCCCATGACTTTTATTGCTGTATTTTCATGAATTATTTCTCACAAATAGCTCATTGAGACGAGTGAAGCTGTGTGGAAAGCCAAAATTGTAAACTTTCAATTTTCATAAAATTTTTATTTTTCTAAAGTTTCATACCACGTTTACGTTTGTAAGTAGAAGAGTAAAGTTGAAGAACTTAGATTTATCATCAAGTTTCATTTTCATTTATCATCAAGTTATCATGTCACTACCGAAACACAGTTTGTAGTATGTGGGCGGAGCCTGATTTTAGCCACACCCCTGCATTTTAGAGCAGGAAGTGAGGCTGCATCCCTGTCCCTCATGGCCACATGGTGAGCAGTTAGATCCCATTGTTTTGAAGTAAACGTGTCCCAAAGTCTGAAAATCAGTGTGGAACATTGTCACTACCGAAACACATTTTCTGCAATTAAGAACTTCTGTGTTTTCATGAAAAATACGATGATTTTATGTGTGTACAGCTGATCAAAGTTGTTTGCTAGTGATGAACGGGTTGGAATTCTACTCAAAATGAGCTAAAATTGTCACCACCGAAACAAAGATTCATTAATTGTAATAAAATCAACATATTTAAGGTATTGGGTTACTTAATGCAAAAAGATGGTGAGCAGTTAGATCCCACTGTTTTGAAATAAGAGTCCCAAAGTCTGAAAATCAGTGTGGAACATGAAGAATTGTCACTACCGAAACACATTTTCTGCAATTAAGAACTTATTTGTGTTTTCATGAACAATATGATGATTTTATGTGAGTACAGCTGATCAAAGTTGTGTTTGCTAGTGATGTAGTGTTGGAATTCTGCTCAAAATGAGCTAAAATTGTCACTACCGAAACAAGTTTTCATTCATTTTAATGAAACATAATTACGGTATAGGGTCACTCAAAGCAGAAAGACTTTAGTCTAAAGTCCACGTCTGCTAAAAATTTGAAATGGTCCATATCACAAATCATTTTGCGATATTTAGCAATATGTTTGTAAATATTTGTGTGATAAGATTTTTCCTCTGTGTGAGTCAGTTTGTGAGTGAATGAGGAAAAATTAATGGATTAAATTTTGTGTTGTCAGTGAATCAGTTTAGCACTTAGTTTGTAATTTGAATGATAAACAAGGTATTTACAAGTCTTCATGAATGAGTTTTACAGTGTGGTCAGTCTCCACAAGGGGGTGCTATTAGCACACAGATATTTTGTTAGCATTACTGAGGAAGAGGGAACCCACACCAGCAGGATCTCACTGAGCTGAAGCTGCAGTTTGTTTGTATCTGAAGTGAAGGTAAGTGTTTGCTGTTCTAGGCTGTGTTAATGAAGTAAAAGTGTAAATGAGGGTAAAAGGTTGTGTTTATATGGCTGAGCAGGTCAGCAGGTCAGCTAACAGGCTACAGCAGTAATGGTCAGTTAGGCTCATCACAGAGTGACGAGTGTGAGAACAGAACAGAAATACAGGGGGCCGAACGACAGACCCTCATCATCTCTCTCTGTCTGTCTTTCTATCTCTATTTTCTCTCTCTTTCTCTGTCTGTCTTCTCTCTTTTCCCTCTTTCTCTCTCTGTCTTCTCTCTTTCTTTTTCTCTGTCTCACTTTTTTCTCTCTCTCCTTCCCTCTTCCTGCTCTCTCTGTCTCTTTCCCTTTCTCTCTTTCTCTTCTCTCTCTCTCTCTCTGTCTCTCTTTTTCTTTCTTTTTCTTTCTTTCTTTCTTTCTTTCTTTCTCTCTCCTGCCCTCTTCCTGCTCTCTTCTGCGCTCTCTCTCTCTGTCTCTTTCTCGTCTCTCTCTCTCTCTTTCTCTCTCTCTCTCTCCTGCCCTCTCCCTGCTCTCTCCTTCCCTCTCTCTGCTCTCTCTCTCTTTCCTTTTGTCTTTCTCTCTCTCTCTTTTTTCTCTCTCCTGCCCTGTCCCTGCTCTCTCCTTCCCTCTCTCTGCTCTCTCTCTCTTTCCTTTTGTCTCTTTCTCTCTCTCTCTTTTTCTCTCTCCTTCCCTCTTCCTGTTCTCTCTTTCCCTTTTTTCTCCTTCTCTCTCTAACATTCTCACTCTTTTCTCTCTCTTTCCCTTTTTGCTTCTCTCCCTCTCTCTCTCACTCAGTTTCAGTTCAGTTAATGTAAAAAGACTGATATATAACAATACAACAGTTAAGAAGGGAAAGTGTTAATTATCAGTTAATAATGTAAAATTATATATAATAATAAAACAAGATCTATTTAATACGTGCCTGCAGTTAAAAACGAGAGAGAAAAAACGTTAATTATCAAATATATTTATGTAATTAAAAAGGGAGAAAATAAAAGGGAAAAAAAATCCTATATTACAAACATATATAACACTGAGTAAAAGTGAAAGCTGTGGTGTGCTGGTCACTCACTGTCCCGGCATGAACGACACTCACATGTACTTACACACATCTGACCTCTCCTAATATAATCACAGATTTATCATCTCCCACAGAAGATGTTTGTCTGTTTTTCAGATTGATTAAAATATTGATTCCTGATAGAATCATATTTTGGGCAGGTCAGTAGGAAGTGCAGCTCTGTCTCTACCTCATCTGTCCTGCAGTGACCACACACTCTCTCCTCTTTTGGTAACCAGGCCTTTCTCAGTGGTCAGGCTGTGGTCACCGAGTCTGTATTTGGTGATCTGTATTTTCTCACTCTTTTTTCTTTCTCCTTCCCTCTTTTGTCTCTCTCTCTCTCTCTCTCTCTCTCTCTCTCTCTCTCTCTCTCTCTCTCTCTCTCTCTCTCTCTCTCTCTCTCTGTGAGTGTAATGGGCTCGTTAGCAGTAAAACGTGTGAAATTCCTCAGATAGCAGCGTCACGCTCACAGGCGTTTCACGTTTCTTTAGCCTGAGGGGTTCAGCAGCACACGCGCACACGCCCAGGGAACAGATTTAGGGGGGGTGGGGAACAGAGGGAGTGTGAGGGACCCTTAGGGTTCAGAGAAAAGGGGAGAGATGGAGGGATGGAAAGAGAAAAGCAAGGGATTGGGGGAGGAGGGCAGCCCTAATGACCTCCCATGACACCCACACGACCATCATTACTTCAACGCTGCCTCACACACACACGACTGTGATTAGTTCAGTGTGACACACACACACTTGTGCGTGGGCAGGACGGTGGACCACCGGCGTCCATCTGTCCTGCTGGTCTGCTGTCTCAGAGTTTAACACAGAAAATAAACAGGACTGACAGACTGATTTACAGCAACTACACACACAACAGGTTCAGAAAAGTTTGGAGAGAGAGAGAGAGAGAGAGAGAAAACAGAGAGAGATAAACATCGAAAGAAATGGGGAGAGAGAGAACATGGAGAGATGGAGAGAGAACTTGGAGAGAAATGACAGAGAGAACAGGAGGAGGGGGACAATGAGAGTGAAAGAGGGAGACAAAAAGAAAAATGGAGAGAAACAGAGAATAGCGAGAAATGGAGAGAGGGAGAAAAGGAGAGGGATTGGATGAGAAATAGAGAAAGAGGGAGATACAGAGAGAGAAAGAGTCAGAGTGAGAGAAAGAAAGAGAGGGAGTGAGAGAGAAAGAAACGGTGAGAAAGGGCGAGAGAGGTTCAGAAAGAAACAGTGAGAGAGAAGGAAAGAGAAACAGATGGGGAGAAATGGAGAGGATGAAAAACAGGATTTGGGAGTGAGAGAAAGGAGGAGAGAGAGGGAGAAATGGAGAGGAAGCGAGAATTTGGGAGGGAGTAAACTGGGGAAAGCCGGTGTGCACGGTTGCTGTGTGTGCGTGTGTATCTGTATGTGTGTGTCTGTAAGTGTGTATATGTGTGTGTAGATCTGTGCGTGTGTGTATAGGCCTGTGTGTGTGTGTGTGTGTGTGTGTGTATAAGTCCGTGTGCGTCTGTATGTGTGTATAGCTGTGTGTGTGTGTGTGTGTGTGTGTGTGTGTGTGTGTATAGGCCTGTGTGTGTGTGTGTGTGTATAGGTCCGTGTGTGTCTGTATCTGTGTATAGGCCTGTGTGTGTGTGTATATAGGCCTGTGTGTGTGTGTGTGTGTATAGGCCTGTGTGTGTGTGTGTGTGTGTATAGGTGTGTGTGTATAGGTCCGTGTGTGTGTGTGTGTGTATAGGTCCGTGTGTGTGTGTGTGTGTGTGTGTGTATAGGTCCGTGTGTGTGTGTGTGTAGGCCTGTGTGTGTGTGTGTGTGTGTGTATAGGTGTGTGTGTATAGGCCTGTGTGTGTGTATAGGTCCGTGTGTGTGTGTGTGTGTGTATAGGTGTGTGTGTATAGGTGTGTGTGTATAGGTGTGTGTGTATAGGTCCGTGTGTGTGTATAGGTCCGTGTGTGTGTGTGTGTGTGTATAGGTCCGTGTGTGTGTGTGTGTGTGTGTGTGTGTGTGTGTGTGTATAGGTCTGTGTGTGTGTGTGTGTGTGTGTGTAGGTCTGTGTGTGTGTGTGTGTGTGTGTGTGTGTATAGGTCCGTGTGTGTGTGTGTGTGTATAGGTCCGTGTGTGTGTGTGTGTGTGTGTGTGTGTATAGGTCCGTGTGTGTGTGTGTGTGTATAGGTCCGTGTGTGTGTGTGTGTGTGTATAGGTCCGTGTGTGTGTGTGTGTGTGTGTATAGGTCCGTGTGTGTGTGTGTGTGTGTGTGTGTGTGTGTGTGTTTACTCCAGCTGTGCTCCGTTAGCGTCTCTCTGCCGGCAGTGTAAACTGTTATTACTGTGAGGGTAATGAGCGCCTCTCCTCCCAGCGCTGCTCTGATGGCCTGTGGTTCTGCTCCCCGTCCCCATCACTCATTACGGTGTGTGTGTCGGGGTGTTAAAGTGTGTGAGACCCTCGCTGCTGCAGCTCTGTCATGCTGCGTGTCACCTTCAGCTATGATTGATACCAAATCCAGCGTGCAGGTCGCTGAGCGTGTGCATGTGCATCATCACACACCG